GAAAATTTGAGGGTAGTTTTCGTAACTTCCCTTCTCCTTTATTATTTATTAAATTTATATTAAAATTAAGAATAATTTTTAACTTTTACTTCTCTTAATAAATTGTTTAAATTAAAATATAATATGTTATAATACTCCTTTATTTTATTTTAAGTTATTTAATTTTATTAATAAATACTAAAAGTTTATTAATACTAAAATTTTATTAGAATTTATAAGTTAATTTTACTTTTACAATTTTTTTTATATATTTTATTAAATTTAATAAATTTGTGTTAGGTTAATTATAACTTTCTTAAAAAATTAATACTAATTTTATCCTACTAACTCTATTTATAATTTCTCATTTTTATATTAATAATTAATTAAAAAATTAACCTATTAAATCACATCACTCACAACTAATTATCAATTTCCTCAAAAATAATCATTAATTTACTTTCACATATATTCATCTCAATGAGAGTTGTCCATATCATTTTCTTTGTACATATTCATTCTTCATTATTTTCTCCTATAAAAAATATCCCCACAATTTTCTTTTTGCATTTTAGTCTTCGTTATTTTCTTTCTTTGATTAACCAATTAGTATTTTATTCATAATATGCTTATTATCTTTACAATATGTTATTTATAATATTTTTGTGATTTTTTTTTGTTCAAATTTATTCTTTATTATTTCTCTTATTTTATTATTATTTTAATTTGTCTTTATTTTTTGATTTCTTATTTCTTCAATTCTTAATTTTATTGTTGTTTATTAATTTTTTATCATTTTTTTTTGTACTTACAAATTTTAAGTTATCACAAATTATACTTTTTGGTAAAGAGATTTGATCTCTTATTTTTATTCAGTTATTAATTTTATTGTTGTTTGCTAATTGTTTATCATGTTTTATTTTGTAGGTACAAATTTAAAGTTATCACAAACCAAAAATTGTTAACAATGCTCTCTGAAGTCAATCCTTAAAGACTTTGGATATGTGCACGAATAGTTTAGACTTTCTTGCATTTGATCCATTTTTATTTAGGAGTGGTCATTATATTAATTTGTGGTAATTTGAACCAACACTTTAAAGAGAAAAATTTAAATTATTATATATTAAAGTTGTTAAGTTTTTTTTTAAATTTTTGGAGCTAAAACTTGAGGGTAGTTTTCGTAACTTTCCTTTTATTTTCTTATTTATTAAATTAGTGTGATACCCGTGCCTTTATACGAGTACATGTTCTAGTCCTCTCATTTTTGTTCAATGTTGATATTACTACATAATAAAATATATATATATATATATATATATATATATATATATATATATATATATATATATATATATATATATATATATATATATATATATATATATAATATAATAATTAAATAAAAATTATTTTGATTTTATCATATTAATATAATAGAATAATACTTATATTAATAATATATCTATAAATAAAATAAATATATAAAATTAAACAAAGTGACTAATATTTATTTTTTGATATCATTGATAAAAAATAGTTTTATAAAACAAACACTAATAATATTAAATTATTATAACATAAAGTCACTATAGGTGTTTCAATTTAATGAGAAATGACGATTATTGGAGTTGAATAATGTGGTCCTTTAATTGGGTTTGAGGGCTTATTGTTTTGATAGTATATGAAATATGAAGGCATTCTCTTTTATTGACTCAAACCAAAAATAATAGTGATTTATTGCATAGGATACTAATGCAAGATGCTAACTCAACATCTACTCCCATGAAAGCCACTATGATATAGAAGTTTAGCGTTGACTACTATTGAGATGCTTTGGCTCCAGACTCTTTTCCATGACTCAAAAGTTTCAGTTGCCCCTCCTATTATTTTTTGTGACAATGAAAGTATAGTGGCTATGGCTTACAATCTTATTATTCATGGCATGACTAAGCATGTGAAAATACATTTTTTATTGGTTCGAGAAAAGGTTCTAGCCAAACAATTGTAAATTCTACACATTCTTAGTGTAGATCAAAAGAAAAATATTAGATTTATTGTTTGATCTTCATGACATATTCCTAGTGCTGACCAAAAGGAAAATATTATGAAATTCATGACCTATTCCTAGTGCTGACCAAAAAGAAAATATTATGACAGTATGAAATTATTAGAAAATTTTATAATAAGGTATGCAAAGCATTATCATTTTTACAATAAGTTTCTATCATATAGTTGTCACTAAACCAATTCTCCTGCACATTCTAATAAATACTCCCCTCATTCTCTTTTATAAGAAAATTTTGACTTTTTAGATTCATTAAATAAATGATGTATTTAGATTATATATTGGTTAGATATATCAATTATTCAATGAACCTAAAAACTTAAAATTTTCTTATAAATAGGAATAGAGGGAGTAAACACTAATTTCTCAAACACACTTCAACTTGTTCAAACCAATATGGCAACGTAGCTTTCCCACTGCCACAAATTGGAGCCATGGCACAGTCTTGCTGGAAAAAATGTTCTTGTTATCGACGCTTCTTCTGGCATTGGTCATGACTTATGTCATGATCTTGCTCCAGCTGGTTGTCGTCTTATCTTGACAGCTCTTTGGATAGACAGACTTCACTCTATCTGCGACGAAATCAATAAACAGTTATTGTCACATAAAGACTGTCGCTAAATTGCAGGAGGGACCAAAAGTTAAAATTTAATTTTTTAGGAGGACTATTCTTTGAAAGAAAATTTTAGAGAGACTAAAAGCGAAATTTGAGATATTTAGAGGGACCAAAAACTTATTTAACCCTAAACTTATTTGTAAATTTTATTTTTTAAATAAAATTTACTAAACTTATTTGTAAATTTTATTTTTTAAATAAAATTTGCTTGATTCTATAAAAGATTGGACATTTCTCATAGAATCAAGTACAACACAATAACAACCTGTTACTTTTTCTAACCATAGTTAGAAGACACGAGAAATATACATTTCTAAGAAAGTCTAAATAATTCTTTCCAAAAAAGTACAAACATTTTAACAACAAAAGCTTCTGATTATAAAAGAAGATGAAGTTAAACATGTCAATACAAACAGAAACTAAGTGGTAGAGTAAACTTTCAAATTACCATAAAAGTTACATTTAAGAATATTAGATTTTTCACCATCTTTTAGAGGCAGAGGAGCTAAAATTCCTGAATGATTCACCTTTTTCACAAACAAATTTGGACAATAAAATTACATTTGGCAGATCACTGTGTACTTATAGATATAAGACATTACAAAACCTTATTTAAAGTTTAATTGAATGTGTACTTATTATAAAATTAGTAGTAGTAGAACTTTGCAAGTGTTCTAGTCATATTCAATTCAATATCAACACTGAATATATTTAAGGGTTAAATATATTTTTGGTCTCTATAAATATCTCAAATTTTATTTTTAGTCCTTATTAAAATAATGACATGTTTTAGTCCTTACAAAATTATTATGCACATAATTTTAGTCCCTATTGTTAAACCAATATTTTTTTTTGAATGAGTATTTTATAGTCATGTTTAGAATGTTATAAAAAATTTCTTGAAAAAAAAAGAAATTCAAAATTTGATTTCTCAATCGAGTTTTCATTATTTTTATTAATATCTTTTGAAATTTAAAAAAATCATATTTAATTCTTCTCATTTTAAAAAATTCTAAAACTTAATAAAGAAACATTTTATAGCATTCTAAACACATATGAAAAATATTATTCAAAAATTTAAAAGTTTAAGGATAATTAAACAGTTTTTGATATTTTAGAAAATAACAGGGACTAAATCTGGATGAACAAAAAAATTTTAGGACCAAAATTTGTCATTTTTTTAATAGGGATTAAAAATGAAATTTGAGATATTTATAAAGATCAAAAATATATTTAATCCTATATTTAAATCAATACTTTATTATTTAAATCAATATTCAATATTTCAAACATGATGTTTCATAGTATATAAACAAAAGAAACTTCTAGAATAAGATACTAATATCAATATCTATAAGATACTGTTATTCAATATTCAATAATATCAATAATCAATATTAACAATAATGTTATTCATTCTGCTCTTCATACTAATAGAAACTGCTATTCAATACTGCTATTCATACTAATAGAAACTACTAATATCAATAATCAATATTCTAAATTTCAACATTTTATGATGGTTCAATATTTCTAGAATAAGATACTGCTAATCAGAAGAAAAATTTTCCTCCCACACTTCCCTTTTGAATTGGCAGTAAAAAAATCATTCGCAACTTCAGAAACCTCTGCAGTATCAGTATGTTTGCTTTATTCTGATAAACTTAGTTAGACTATTTTATTAGTTACGATGTCTATTGTTATCCCCTCCTCTGCTGAAAATGTCTTCACCACCACTTGCAAAGTTTGATGTTTTTTCCAATGTAGAAGCATGTTCAAAATTACACCTTGGTAAATTCCCCTTCTACCAACTGGTACATAATTTTTGCTTTTCAGACCCATTGTTAAGAAAAAAAAGTGCTCTTCCACTTCCAGTGTCAATATCTTTGGATCATCGGTTGTTTCTGATGATTCTGTAGGCTCAATCTTCCTAAAAGCTTCATTGAGTTTTTATTCTTTTTTTCGAACCTAAAATGGCATAGAAAGAACTCTATATACATTATCATGCTAGAACATACTGCATTGAGTATTGACTTACCAGCATCACACAAAAATGATATCTATAAAAGAATGAAAGAAAACTATTATCTGCATTTTGTCATTTGATGAATCAGTAAGAGCATACAAAACTACCATATCACTATAAGGAAAAATATAAAACTTTGAAAATTCTCTCATTCATTTGACCCCTTTCTAAATTTCAGTCTGAGGATGCAGCAGATCAAAAGTAATCGTTTGTTTGACAAAAATAACAGACAAGGGAAGACAACAAAAGTGAGAGAGGAAGAGAAAAAAAATAGTAATTTCCCACTCATAACATCTGTATCTATTAACAATTTGTCATAGTCGCATTGCCATTGTCATGCTGTTATTAGAACATATATAGTTAGCAAGTGAAAGCAAAACGAAAATAAGCAAGGTATAAAAGCACTAACCGTCCCTCTAGAGCTTCCACTGATTTGCGGAAACTCAAATATAGTCCAGTCAAAAATATAGTCAAATTAATAGCCTGCATCAACAATGTCCAAATTATTTAACACAATAGGCTGCCAAACAAAATATACAGAATGCTAAAGTACAAATTATAAATTTATTGGATTGAATTATGGACCTTCTCGAATAAATAGATATCGAAAAAGCCTCTTTAAACAGGAGTAGTCAAGCTTTGTCTTCAAACCGCAAAGATTGGTAGTAGTGGAAGTATGATCCGAACTCTGAGGGATATAATTTGCAAAGCACCTGTCATACAATGAAATGAAATGAAACAATTAGCCCAGTCAAATCCAACCAAATTCAAAGCACCAAAATTAAGATCCAAAGAAAACATCAAAGTGTCTCCAAAAGCTTCATCAATCTAGCTGGTCAGTATACCTCTATGGAAGTTGTCATATTCTTCTCACTGATTCTATCATATTTTTGCTTTTTGGTACCCGCCTTCAATCCCTGCCAAGGAAGACTAAAGATAAAGAGTATAATGCAAAGAAATTGTAAGAATAATATGATAAATATATCCCTGCCAAGGAAGACTGAAAATAAAGAGTACAATGCAATGATATTGTAAGAATAATATGATAAATATATCCAAATCAAGATAGAAAAAAATACATTTGTGTATATCATGTATCTAACCTCCCACTTCCTTTGCAGCAACGCCAATACATCATGAACTAACTAAACCATCACACTTCTTGATTGATCATGTACCTGACACTTTGGCGGATTCAACATGGAAGAAGAAGAAATTAAAATTTGTATAAACGCATTGATCGACGATACCTGTAAGTTTTAAATACTAAAACACCTACCTTTACTTAGTAACTGAATGAGTAAAACATCTTACTCAGTTCCAGAAGCTTGTTCAGTTATCTGATAAACGAAAATAATATCCTGTAAAACCTTAAAAATTGAAGTCGCTACTACACCAAATATTGATATTGTTGGAGGGAGATACTAGGAGCATTAATACATAGTGTAGGACTAGGCACTTTTGTGAGAGACACACCACTTATCCACCTAAAACCTTAAGGTGATAGGTGATAGGTTACTGGACAAATGGGTGGATATTTGGAACTCACCCATGTTGCAATAGCTTCATGGTACATTAATATTCAACATTTTTCCATGCTTTATTAGCTCTAAGAACTCCCCAAAAGCTGCATTGTCGAAAATCAAAACAATGGTTATTGGTTACTCCAAATTAAAGTAAGTGTAATAACGTGTAAATTCAAAATGCAAATACCAGGTAATAATGTTGCAGAGTAGATCAGTTCTATATATACAATAAAAACTAGAAACATAATTATGCACATAGATCCCATTGGTTTTCATACCTCTGAACTAATTCCAGCGCGGCCAGTTCGAAGGTTGCGTCCAATTTGAAAAGCACACCATTCAATCCCTGTCTATCCCCTGCAAAATATTGAAGTTGTGCATTGTTTATGTTATGACAATATTTTTAGTGTAATTCAATCTAGAGATATCATAATCACTATTCCTGATACTCAAAATGTTAGTGGCTGCCTCTGAGTTAAGTTTTTCTGCACTATTCCATTCCTCCCTAGCTCTTGATGAATGTTGCAGGGCTGAAAATTGTCCGCCTTTTAGAAAAGTGTTAGCCGCTGCCTTAGAATGTCGTGACGCTAACCTGTTTAAATAACTACAACAGAAGCCCATTGCAGAAAAAGACTTTATTTTTCACTTTCTTGTGTGAAAAGACTTCATTTTTGTCCATACCAAATTAAGTCATATTATAAATAACTTTGATTGAACCATAGCAATACAAAAGATTCAACAGGTTTAATGATTTTAAAAATCCCTGCATCACAATTTAACTGAATCTTAGTAACTTAAAAATAGTATTAAACAAAAATATTAAGGATCTCGATTTTGCAGTTCCAAGTTTTTCTTATCTCATTTTGAGTATGTATTCCAATATCTAAATGACGTCTTCAACTCTGTAACAAAATAGTATTAAACAGAAATATTACCGATCTCGAAATACCAATTGAAAAGATGAAGTTTCCAGTAATAATACCAAATGTTATTTATACCTCTTTTTTCAAGTATGTATTATCGATGATGGTGACACAATCTTCAGATTCCCCATTAAAATCGAGGTTTCTCATTAACTTCTTCAACCTCTTTTTCTCTTCAGCAGACTGTGCTCCATAACCCTATCCCAAACATCATATAAAAATATTCATCTAAGCTATAAATTCAACTCATATACCATCAAAAAGAAAATATACTCAACTCAACTATTGACAAAAATTTGACCCCACTACACTCAAATGTATGTCTCTAACATAAATACACAACGACATGCATAATTATCCATAAAAAATATGATAGCTCAAAGTCCAATTTCACAAAGCATATACACATATAATCTCAAAGTCTGAATAATAATAATACAAAGTCAGAGAAGAAAATACAATATACCAAAGAGGCTTCTACCTTTGGAAGAGAAGCGAGGATACCTGCATTAGAAGGTTGGGGATGCCGAATGAGGCAAATGGAGAGTCGAGATAGTTCAAGCCGGCGGACTAAAGCCACCGCGCCATAACAGGTCTCCGGCATCAGTAAATGAATTTTGCAGGGAGTTGATGATAACTTGATCATAAATATTAGCGGCTGCATCGGTATTTCCTTGTGGCGACATCTGGCTAACCATGTGGTGCCGGGAACGATGTTGAGGAACCAATTTCAAGATCTGTTACACACACGTGCTTGTTAACACAGAATCATCACAGAAATCACAAAAACAAATTAAAGCAAGTATCTGTAAAAGGTTGATTAAGTGACTCCAACCAATTAAAGCAACATCAAAGCTTCATATCAGGTTATTTTTGTTTCAACATTATTTGTGATTTTTATTTTAGTTAGAACTTAGAAGTCATAACCCACTCCCATTATGAAAAATCAGTATAGGACTTTTGTTTTCACCCCAAACTAAAACCAGAAACAACATATGCGCATAACATTGAGTAGATCAAGCAAATATAAAAAATAACGAATCGAAAACTGTGTTGATTGTGTTTGCGGCAGCGTCCCAGCCTTAACTACAACCGTGGTCTCAAGGTCTCAGTCGTTGGGGAAATTCAAAACATCGTAGTCGACATTGGGTTGCGAATCGGAGGCATGTGGAAGAGATTGGTTAGGTTTTGGTTCGTAGTCTTCGACGTTTATAGTTGAATTGAAGTCCCTAAGGAGGAGAAATTAAGGGCAATAATATTAAGGGAGATTGAAGGAATGAAGCAGTGGAAAATTTTGTAACCGCCATTTCTTATATGTTAGATTTGGTATTCTCTAACCGACATGTTGGTGGAGAAATTAGAAGTGGAGAAAGAAAAGAATAGAAATTTTTTGGAAGAAAAGATAGTGTGCCATGAAAAAGCCGCGTGTTATATTTTTGAAACAAAAAGATAAAACAAAATTTTGGGTAGAATGATTTTTCTTATATTATAGATTTATTCTAAAATTATGAATAATGTCTAATTTTTACTTTCCCTAAAAGTTTGTTGAAATTAAAATATAATATATTATAATATTCCTTTGTTTTATTTTAATTTAATAAGTACTAAAATATTATTAACATAGATTTATTCTAAAATTATGAATAATGTCTAATTTTTACTTCCCCTAAAAGTTTGTTGAAATTAAAATATAATATGTTATAATATTCCTTTGTTTTATTTTAATTTAATAAGTACTAAAATATTATTAATATTAACATTTTATTAAAATTCTTAAATTAATTTTACTTTTACAATTTCATTATATATTTTATTAAATTTAATAAATTTGTGTTAGGTTAATTATAACTTCCTCAAAAAATCAATGCTAATTTCATCCCACTAACTCCATTTATGTTTTCTCATTCTTTTATTAATAATTAATTAAAAATTAACTCATTAAACCACATCATTCACCACTAATTATTAATTCCTAAAAAATAACCACTAATTTATTTTTACATAAATTCATCTCAATGAGAGTTGTCTACATCATTTTCTTTGTGCAGATTCATTCTTCATTATTTTTTTTTCCCGTGAGAGATGTTCCCACAATTTTCTTTTTGCATATTTAGTCTTCAGCCACAACTTGGTGTAAAAGAGTTCTAGCTAAGTGACTAATACGTTAAAATCTTCTTAATCTTCTTAATGTCCAGATAGTTCTTTCATAGTTCTTTCAGGTTTAAAATATCCACCGTGATATATTTCTGTCTTAATCAGAAATTTAAAAAGAGATATTTTTTTTGAGATATTTTTTTCTATAATATATGTCTCTATTTATACAAAATTCGATGCATTTTAGACTACAAAAATTTGTCCGTACAATCTAAACACTCCAAAAATATCGGCAAAATCTCGACCGTTTAAAAAACTTGAATACATGAATTATTAGAAATTTCAGTATAACTCAAATTTTCGATACTGCCTGGTAAATTTGATATTTTCAGAATACCAGAAATTTATACACCTAAAATTTTGTTAAAGTGTACTAGAATTTTTATTTGTATTGGAAATTTCAATATATTTACTAAAAGTTTCGTCTAGAAATTTATTTGTAACTCAACAAAAATAATTATGAAATAAAACAAATCAGAGGATATCATGTATAATTTAATTTTGAGGGTAGAATGTTAATTCCTCTTATGTCTATCATATTTGTTGGGCCTTTTTTGATAAATGTATTCTTATTTGCACCCGATGTTTCTCTAATGCTCTTCTTGTTGCAAACATATTGTTTTATCACCTTTTTTTAAAAGTATATTTTGCCCCGCATCTATATTTATCTAGAAAATATTTTTTTGGTTTTTTCTATACATCACGGAATTTAATTCTATATTCTATACCTCTAATGCACAAATATGTTATCTATTTTAGAGTTACAATTCCATATTGTTTTCTTAAGTACTCAATTTTAGGGTAGTTTAGCAAATTGTAGCTTTGTAGGCTAATTCTAGAGACTTGACTCAAATGCCAAATGGCCATAAAGATGTTACAACGGAAAAAGACTTTAAATTTGGACTATAATAGGTGGAAGATAAAAAAAATAACAAATAACAAAAATAAGAAGAAAAAAACACATTTTTGAGTCACCATTAACAAAATGACCTTTTTTAGAATGTAGAATGTAGGATAGTAATAACCAAATCCAAGAAGAAGAACCAATGGATCATGATTGATGAAAACATACTACAATATAACTAATTTTATTCCTCCAATTAGACATAAATTGTTAAATCATAAAATAAATGAATGGTTAAGCTATGTTTAAGGATTAGACATTGATTCAAAACTCCAAACATGGAAACATGTTTGTTATGATTAGTTTCATTTTCAAAACCTCTTTGGCATTCTCATCATGTTTTGTCGAACTTCAACGCCTTTGGTGGAATAATTTATATAAAAGAATCCCCTTTCCCACTTCTACCCCACCAAGCTAAAGGGAAAAGCAGGGCTTGGTTTGGTAACTTGGAATACAAGAAACAAAATGAGTCTCAATTGTCTTTCATGCAGCCAAGTTTTGCAAAGGACAGACTCATTTCAAGAGTTATTCCAAGAAGAAGAATATAGGGAAAGAAGTAAAAAGGTCGAAAGAACCTGGTCGGGAAATATACCGCCTCCGAACAAAGAGATGACCAAAGGCGGACCTCTGACTAAGATTAAGGCCAATCATCGCCGCACTCACAGTACCGGAAATATGCCTTTTTCAAGCAACGGACCGAAGTTGGTGAGGAGTAGTGGAATGAGAAGAGATTGGAGTTTTGAGAACTTGGCTGAGATACAACAAGAGCAAAGAGTGACTTGCCATTAAGAAGCTATAAGATGATATCAATGAATATTATTGTCACTTGTGTATACTTGTTTGTGGTGGGAATTAATGTAAAGATTGGGGAATGGTGGGGCGTTAGAGTGGGAGTACATTATAAACATGGCGTTTTAAGCGCTTGGTAGATACCATAGCACTTTTTTTGTGCCATTTGTAATTTACATCCCTTGCAACTTTTTGTTTTTCCCCTTCAGATTCTGTAATTCATGTTTCAGCTCATAAATTTAATTTAATTTATTATTTATCTTCTTGTTGTGTACATTGTGACATCGTATATCCTATGTGAAATTTCAGGTGCATATGATTGAACTAGTTTCTGCAATTAGTGCACAAAGTCTCTCGTCCCATGTAGCAGCATTCTAGGAATGTTTATAACCAAACAAATATTACTGTTGCTATATGGTACGAGAGATTACGTTCACGAGTTGCATGAAATAAGCCCAACCAAATCAAGCCAAATCCCATCTCAATTATGCTGTCAAATTTGGTCAAGGGGTGCCATGAGATAAAAACATAATAACAGTTCTCACTAAGATTAAGAAAAACTTCTTCATTTGTAATGTTTAAGTAAAAAATGAGACAGAAACACACTTTTTTTCTCTCTCAGTGCTCATAACTTTAAAGCCAGCCAAATGATATAACAGGTTCCAGCATTCTTTACACTTTATGAAATTTATTATACAACAGAAAATCCAGTGGTAAAAAACCTCTTTAAAAGTGCTCATAACTTCAAAGACGTGAAAAAATTCACTAGTTTTTCTTTCTTCTAGCTTCTGCTTTCCAATCTCTACGACAAAGCACGGTTCTAGGTGTCTGATTATAAACAATGTTAGAAGATCTGGATTGAATTTTCCTATCTAGCATTGTTTCTGACATGTTCCCGGCACCTAAGCTAGACTCCTCGGGTACATTAGCTGGTGTCATGGAATGATCTATAGACCCGCTCATCTCTCGACGCTTTGTAAGATGAGCCTGCCGTGCATCCTTTTTCCAGTCTCGATTACAATATACGCGTGTCACAAAATTGTTGTGGTTCCTGTTTGGTTGTAGCTCTACTTGCATTGCAGGTGTCTGTTCTACATCGAAAGAATCAGTGGTTCCAGATTCTAGACGCTTACGTGCCCTGTATCTACGCTGTCTCTCTCGATTCTTCAGACGTCGATTCACTAAGTCACCACAATCTTTAGTAGAGTGTGCTCTTTGATCAATGGACTTCATAGAACTGTCTTGTGTATCAGAAGCACTTTGATTGTTTTCCATTTTCAGAGTAGGGATAGCATCTGCAGAAACCAAGTTAGGTAAGGATAGCTTGATATGGATCTCAATAGTTCCATGATGTACAAAATTGTGAGAAATGAAAAAGAAGCATAATAGTGGAATTAGATCGAGAATGTGAAGAAGATCGCCACATTCATTGGATGGATACTCTCAATAAGCCTCTTGTTTGGTTCAATCAAAGAACTCTAGAGGAACAATGATCTAACTCGCTTTTCAATTCTATGATTGAAAATTCCAAATGCATTCAAAATGTTTCCAATTGTGCTGCAAACAAGCCTTATATAGGCTTCATCCAAGAGGCCGAAAAAAGCAAGGAAAATAAGGCTCAAGCCCAATGTCAACTAAAAGGAAAGGGAGCAAGATACAAGTTCCAAACGGAAACCTACACAACTATGTGAGTTTGAAATACCAACAAAAGCTCGTATTATAAGCAAGAATACAAAAGGTCTAACTCAACTTCAAAACTAGCTCAAAGAGACAGCATTGACCAAGTCATTATCAGCTACACAATGTCCAATATTTGCTTCTAACTTTGTCATGGATGCAATATATGTCAAACAGCCTTCACCAATTATTCAATCAAAAAAGCATTCTTTATCAGCTTAAACACAATTTGGACACTTGACTATGGTTTGGCATGCGAAGGACCTATAGTCTTATAGAAAAAACTTCCCTGTTGTTTACAAATAACCTCTAGAATAGTAAACTTCAAATTTATAAAAAAGTCAAAGCTTGAGAAAATATGTTCTTAGGGGGCATTAAGTTATTATGTGAGAGGATAAACTTGATCATACAAACATACGCCTTCAAATAACATGCTCATACATCTATCTATTTATCTATGTGCTTGTATGTAACATCTCAGTATCCTACATTTCAGACATTCCTGGGGTTGGCGTGTCTGTGTTGCGTCTCATGTCCATCTTCATGTCTATACTTCATACACTATAGTAAGAGATACTTAGTTAGGCTACATATCCATCCAATGACGTGGTTTCTTAATATTTGATTGATCACTTATTCTTTCCATAGAGGAACTATTAGAATTATAATGTAAATAAGTAAATACATTGAACTGCAATTTCATCCAAACGTCTATCATAGATGATAAAGTAGATCCCTTTGCATATTTTTATTCCATGTAAGAAAACAAACAGACCAAAGGAAAGGGTTGATATCTAATATCAACTAAAGATTTGGCCAATCTAGTCCTTATAAAGCTTGGCAATTGTCACTCTTGGGGCTAGCTTTTGGGATTGAGCTAGGTCTAGCTCAAATTTCAACATGGTATCGAAGTTTATCCTAGCGTGTTAATGGGCAACCGACATTTACATGTACTACATAGATCCAATCCTAGGCATGAGGGTGTGTGTTAACTGTTAAGATCCTATAATGACTATATGTAAGTCAAAAGTAGCCACAATATCAAAAGTTATGTCAAGAAATTCTCAACCCATTGAGCATTTTGAAACTTGTGGTACAATATTCTTAAAAGGAAATGCTATTAGACCATGGAAACACTATCGCAATTCTCATTCACAGCAGAATGTGCATAGAAAGGAAAGCAGCAGCAAAATCAAATCTCATTAAACTGATGTAAATTTCTTGTCTACTAGTTTGTTGAGCAAGAATAAAAACTCATTAAGAAATAGGTAAATCGTCTCCACCAACTCTATTAGAACCAAATAGTATTAAACTGATATTAAGTTTTGTTCAATAACTTGTTGGTAAATGGGAATGGATCCTCTTGTGCCCTGCCATAGAGGTTCCATTTCCATAGACATTATTCAATAGCTCAACCAACAGGCCTAAACTTTAGAAGCAGTTGTTGGGAACAACAGAGTAGTAAAAATGACACTAATCCAACAATTAACCACGCATAATGTAGACCAATTTCTAAGACATTTCACATTAAAGGCGTGTTCGTGTTCGTGATCGCATACAATTATTCAATTTTCTTAAATTATTACCAGAGTGCTAGTATCAACGGGGATATGGATGCACTAGGAGTGGTAGCTCTATAAAAATCTAAACAAAATGCATAGCATACATTTGAATAATCAATCAACATCCACAAAAACACTGATCATAAAACTTATCATCCAATTGAATAACAACATAGACAAAAACAAGTAAAAGACAAGGAAGAAAAGTGGGAAATGATGAATTGATGAGAAAAAGGGTTACTAGGGTTATGAAATAGCATGGAAAATTAAACATGAAAAGGGTTGTAAATGGAATTGAAATGCAGAAGAAGAGAGTGTTGTTGAGTTAACCTTGGAGTTGGAGAGTGTAGATCGGAACATGTAGTTGAAACTGAGTTGACGTTGGTGTTTCTCTAGATTCCTGGAAGGACTAATAAATAGACAGGTCTTGTTCAGTGTACTCAGCACAACAGTACAAAACAATGAAATCACGCGTGCAAGAAAATGATAAATACCTTTTTGTCAAGAATTGTAGCAACGGGGTGGTGGCGCAGTTGGCTAGCGCGTAGGTCTCATAGCTGAGAGTAATCCTGAGGTCGAGAGTTCGAGCCTCTCTCACCCCAATCGAGTTTTTGTTTTAATTGTACAACAAGTATTGCCAATTTATTTAAATTATTATTTCTTCTAATGTGTACTTTGGTCATTTTCTATTCTTTTTCATCTAATGCCTACTTTGGCTCATTTTCTATGCAAATAATTCATCTTTTTATTATTATATATGCAAAGGGTTGTAAATGAAAATTATTTGCATTTCATCTAGATGATCTTATTATATATTGAAGTTAGTTAATTAAATAGATCAGTTAGTTATTCTTAGTTTAATTAATTAATCAATCAGTTAGTTATTCTTAGTTTAATTAATTAATCAATCAGTTAGTTATTCTTAGTTTAATTAATTAATCAATCAGTTAGTTATTCTTAGTTTAATTAATTAATCAATCAGTTAGTTATTCTTAGTTTAATTAATCAATCAGTTAGTTATTCTTAGTTTAATTAATCAATCAGTTGTTCTTAGTTATTCTTGGAATTATATAAATTTTGTAGTACTTCTTTACGTAACAATAGTAATGTTTATTATTTAAATATTATGTTATACATTTTTTTTCATTTATATATTCTATCGAGAATAGTGATTTGATACGGACCTTTATAGTTCATACAAATGAGGTGAATTGAAATATGTTACTGAATATAGTTAATGGTTCTTAAGTTCTTCATGCTCGCCACAACAGAAATATCTACAAATACTCAGACATGGTTAGTAACAATAATATGTGAAAGTTTTTTAGGATTAAAATAGTGTAACTGAATATGAGATATTTATAAGGATTTTATAGTAGGGTATTAGGGCTCTATTATTGTTTAATAATTATCATTTATTTCCCTTTTTGCCGAAAGAATGACCCTTACGTTGTGTTTATACTAAAATGTAGTATACAGTCGATATTCTTCCAAAAAAGGTCACTTGCAATATCGATTAGATGATCCTATGACATATGTGCATAAATACTTGTGACTTTGTTTGAATGTTTGGTGAGAAGTGAAACCTATTGTGGTTTCTACTAAGTTAAAATATAAAGTTTGCATAAAGTAAAGGATTTCGGCTGGGTAGAAATCTTGGTAAAAATTAAGACGAAAAGGTAAAGATAAAGTGTAGGGAAAAAAGACAATTTAAAGTAAAGTGAAATTGCTTAAAATATAAAGAACATGATGTTTAGTATCATATATTTTGCTCAAATGACTCATTTCTCGCATTACACTTGGATACTTTGAGTTTGTGAGTGTTAATAATGATTTTGACACACCAAATCCTAACACTAGAACTCCTATTTATACTAATGCTAAATTAAATGTCTTCAACGACTTTCTCTGTAAAAGTCGGCGCGTATTCACTGCATGTATTTCGCCTCTGGATTTGTTTCCACTTGCACTTTTGGATAAGACCAAAAAACAATTATGTTGCTCTTCTCTGCGCCAACCCCCTGTTGTCGAAGACTCATGCCAACCTTTCCGTTGAAACCTTGACTACATTGTTTGTCATCGAAATCCTTGGACGATTACTCCTGAAGAAAACATTAATTATTTACTTTTGTCTTATGCTTGAAACTTCGACTTCTCGGTTCGAAGGGGTTAACATCAAAATACTTTTTTGAGCCTTCAAATTTCATTTAGCTTTCCTCTGATCTTCTCTTTCATATATTTATCTTAACATGGTCAAAAAATCTAGACTAACAAATTGCCCCCCAAAAATACCACTTTCGAATAACTAGAGATAGTGGTATTTTTGAATTATCTCAACATTGTGCCCAGTAATGTGCTGACATCATGGTCATCACGACAACTTTACCAAATGTCAATTTGAGATGTGTGAACCCAAAAAGCTCATCATGCTCCGATATTCAAGAAGAACGTGGGCCACATAAATCAACTATTTGATCCATCCTCTAGGCGAAGAACATGTGCCCCACGTTTGGCGCTATTTGTCAAAAACAAAACTGAAAATTTTCTTTATTTATTCCTATAAATATCCATTCTCTTCATTTCTTCCTCTTTTTCCTTTCAATTCTCGCTTCTTCTAACCCATCAAATCTCTTTTAGTTCTCTTTTTCTTTTTAAACACAAAGATCCATTTACTCTTCTTCCTCGAATGTTCATTATCCCCAACAATGGTTGCTTCCTCAAAATAAAAAAGCTCGAAGGATTCTAAAGACTCTTTGCCTCTTGCTACCAGGCTTAAATATCCAATCACCGCTGGAAACCAAAAGTATATCCCTGAACCACCAATTCAGGAGGAGAAATTTTGTATTTACAAGTCTCGATTATTAATTCCTTTTTTCTATTTCTTGTAATAATACCAATATCCTAATGATAAACCTACTGCTGATGCAAAGAATCCTGTGATACGGTGGCAGAACCGACTGTTTATACTGGTTTTACGTTTGTGTTTGTAAATATTGTAGTAAGCAAGAGTCACCGCCGACTTTTATTTTATCCAACAAAGGAAAGGGTGAAAAGAACAGAAAAAGAACTTTCAAGATTATTTCTGAGTAAGGGGGTAGATTATGGAAAGGGAAGGTGTTATCACCCTTTCCTTCCGTAGTTATCTACGGGCTCTTAGATGCTTAGTGTTGTACCCCAAAATTTGCCCTCCCATTTCCTCAGCATTTTCTCATCACAAAACCCTTGGAGCTCAAGATCCAATTAGGGTTTCCTCTGCTCAAGACTTCTCCTTGCACTGTTGACCCAAATTAGGGTTTGTGTTTGAACAAAGATATTTTGACCTAAAATGCCTAAGATGACTTTCATGCTTCATGTTGGACTCCCAAGTTTATCCATACCAAGTTTCAAGTCTTGATTCCAAATTTTGCCCAGTCAATTGGACAGTTGACCTAGAAATCAACTGTATTGGGGAAAAAGTCAACTGTGGCCAATTGACAGTCAAATCTCATGAAAATTGACCCACATCAACATTATGAACTCACATGGACCATTTGATCAAGTTTGGATCACAATTCCACAAGAAATTTGATCAGATCATCAAAAGGGCAAAATGATCATTTTTAGGGTTTTGACTGCACCAAGGCAATTTTTGACTGTTTGACCTAGCCAATGGCAAACCAAGCTCACATATGGATTCAAGGACCCCATGGAGTTGTCTTGACATGCTCAACAAGTTCAAAAGATCCCAAATACACAGGATTGACAGTTGAATTTCCCAGTCAATTGATCAATTTTGACTGTATACTGAAAAGACAAACTTTGACTTTTTGGTCAAAGTCAAGTGTCAAGATTCATTTTTCATCAAAACATGCCAAATCATGAAACTTGTTCATCAAGAAATCAAGAATTGCAAATTAGGGTTTGAAATGAAGATTTTTTTCATAACTTAGAATTTTTCTAAGTTATGAAAAACCCTAATTTTTTCCTAACTTTGTCCCACTTTCTCACCAAGATTCATTTGGATTCAAGCAAAAGTCAAAATATTAAAGTTGTAGCCTATTGCATAATCTACAACTTTGATTCACAAAGTTTTCCCAAAAGAAGCTTGTAGCTCAAGTTACAATTTTTGGAACAAGGGTACCAAACCATTCTTAACTTAGAGAAAATTTGACCTATTTTAGGCAAGGTTTTTACCTAACTTCAAGACCATTTTTCACATACTTCCACTTGGAATTTCAATTTGCATTTCAAAGATGGATTGTAGTACACATTCCAAGATTTCCAAAATGTCCAAGAACTCATCAAACAACCTCATGGTTAGAGAGAATCGAATTTTGCAATATGGGAAAAACTCACTTTTGATTTGGCCAAGTTACATGTTCATACATTTGTGCCATTTTGAATTCAGCATGCTTTCCTTGATTACAGGCCTCTAAACCATCCAACACTCAATAATTTAATGCTAACTCATTGTGCCAAGGCCTTGTTTTATGAGTTTAAGCATTACATGTTGAACTAAGCCATTTATGGAAAAAGCAAATTAGCCATTCTTGAAAAGTTGCACTTTATGTCAATTGGTAAATCAAGAAGGTACAAAGGAGATCTCTTTGGCACAAGTTTATGAGTTAATTACACTGATCAAGACTGAGTTATGCAGCACATTAGGGGGGCCTCTACCTGTCTAGAACACCAAGTGGCCATCTTTTGCTTAAGTGTGAAGAAACATAGCATATCATAAACCAACTTTCATCTCAGCAAACCAAACCTTAGGAAAACTTGTCAAACATATTCTAAACATCCATTCTGAGCTAGAACACGAGCCAACCAAGTCCTAAACACTCTCATTCACAAAATCACCATTGAACTGTCCAAACAGAGCATCTGATGCAGTTTGAGTTCCATAGCTCAAACCTTCCATGCATTCTTGCTAAAAACACATCAAACACATCCCATAATATTCCTTGAAGCTATTCCAAACCTCAAACACGACCTGTAACATTCCCAGGCAACATCACCATTTTCATTTTCTTGTTTTGCAGTTGAAGTTCTATAGCACGATTCAAAAGGTTTCAAGACAAAGTAAAGCTTGGAATAGCATCCTTGGACATCAAGGAAGCTGTACCAATCATCACCTTGCATTAAGGACACCTCCATCATCAGATACAACTTCAACTGAACAGGTAAGTTCATGAATTCGTATCTCTCTATCCAGGCATTGTTAGCTTTAGGTTTGTGAAGAAAATATGTCACATTCATAGCCCTGAACATGCCCATGTAGTTAGTTTTCATTTATGTTAAGTGTGTCATGAGAATTTGATGTCTGAACATTGATAAAAAATTAGGTTAAGATTTGGGAATGGAGAAATTCTCTCTCATTTTTTAGAGTTAGATCAAGTTTTAGGTATGTATGGATTCGTTGTTTGATGCTGAACATTTTTGATGTTGTGAGTTTTCATTAAAAAGCCAGGAATCAAGGTGTTTGAATCAGGTTACAAAACGCGCGTTTTTGGACAAAGAATGGCTGGAGGTTGAAGAAGCTCCACGTGGGCTGGGCCTGTTTGGTTATTTCTGTTTACACCACTTTTTTGCTTTCACACCCCCTAGGCCCACTTGGCTTATTTTTATGATTTTTTGACTTTTTCTTTTTTGCTCTGACTTATTTATTTTTTCTTATAATATTAAAAATATAAAAAATATTTTTCTCACCATTTTTGAATTTATTAGGCATTTATTTGGTTTCTTTTAGTATTTGTACATAAATAAACATATAAACATACTTTTATTTAAAAAATGTTAAAATAATGCAAACACATTTTATTTTCCATTTTTATTTTCTTTTATCTTCTGAAAATATTTTATATAAAATATACTTTTTTTATAAATATTAAATATTATTATTTTGTATATATAATACATATTTAGAAAATAATACAAATATATATATATATATATATATATATATATATATATATATATATATATATATATATATATATATATATATATATATATATATATATATATATATATATATATATATATATATATATATATATATATATATATATATATATATAGAATATTTAGGACAAAAATACAAAAATACATACGTTTTTTCTTTTATTAATATTTGACCTCAAAAAATACTTTTTTATAAATATACTTCATTTTTATTTTATTTTTGTATATAATAAATAAATATTGTATATATTAATAATTAATACATTTACTTAATGAAATTAGGGTTTTGCCCTAAAATACATAAAAAAATCCAAAAAATAATACTTTTTATTTTGTTTATTTGACATATAAAAATCCTTTTTTTTCATACATATAAAAAACCTTTTTGCATCTTGCATATTTGTTTTATTTCCATTTAATTTATGCAATCAATTATCTTGTAAATAATTCAAATTGATGTAATAATTTAGGTTTAAATTCCTTGTCAAAATACCCCCATTTGAACATTTGTACCCCCTTCCCATATATTGTGTTGTAATAGCTTAGTAACTTTATTTTTCGCACTTTATTGCTTTCTAATTATACCATGTTAGAATTAGGGTTTGTATGCGAATCAAAAACAACAAAAATAGTTTGACCTAATTTCAAGATAAACAAGCATGAAAACGGACAACACTAATCACACTTGCACCCCTAGGGTATTCCACTTGTTGCCTTCAATAAATGGGCCATATTGCATGTTAGGTCTCTTTGGGCAAAACAAACACAATTCAAATGATCATAGTCCCTCGATGACGCTTTCGAAAGTTGCCTAAAAATGATCAAGTCCCTTAAAGAAAATTGCCCAAAGATACTTGGCACCATTGCAATCATGGTCTAAACGATGACCCGCGCCCGTCCCTTTCACATCCTAACACAAGATTGTCCACCAAATACAATGGTGGAACAAAATTGTTAAAAGGGTTAAAACATAGCGATAATCTTTGAGAAATTTAGGAGTAGATAACCTCTTAGTTACTTGAATCAAACTTGCAAAACAAAACACTTGCCTATTTTCTAAAACCACACCTCACAACACTTCCAAAAACAACTTTCAAAAACAAATGAAAACCTTTTCAAAAGACATACACCTTTGTATAC